AAAAAAAAAAAAAAAAATAATAAAAAAAAAAAAAAAAAATAAAAAAAAAAAAAAAAAAAAAAAACAACCAAAAAAAAAAAAAAAAAAAAAAAAAAAAAAAAAAAAAGAGAGAGAGAGAGAGGGAGAGAGGGAGAGAAAACATACAGTGGCAATGGTACACCCAGAAGGACAATCGCTTATGGTAACCGTAGCCGGCGCGTCAACGCTATAAGTCCTCCCAGCCCAGACAAACACCGTCGGCTCGGGGCAATACGTGAGGAACCGATCGACAACAGTAACAACAGTCGTGATACCCTCGGTTGATATACCCGTGAGATTGAGACCGGGGAGGGGAGCGCCTGTTGCGTTGGCTGCCATTTTCTTGCTTTCCTGTTCAATACCGTAGAGATATATATCCCTTGAACGATTGTGGTGATAGTGGCGGTGGTTAACGAATGTGATAGCTTCTGCAACAACAACAGCAACGACAACAACAGCGACGGCAGGGAGAGGGGAGAAAAAAAAAGCGAATGTGTGTGGTGTGTGTGTGGTGTGCGTGTGGTGACCTGTGATCGAACGAGTGGCGAACAGGTTAGTGTCCGAAAGGGGGAAAAGACAGCATGCCCTGCCTTAGCAAAGGGTAAACATGTTGACATCTTTATGGGCTCACAGTCTACCCTCCCCAAGGGATAAGCGCTCCTGGGAACGATCTTCCATGTGCTCACGACTAACGCAACTGGCATCTCGCTCCTCACAGCGCCCTGAGCAACCTCCAATAACAGCAGACTCGTCAGTCCAAGACATCAACAACTCCAAAACATGGCGTGGACTTGGAATGCTGCCGCGCCACACCGCAACATACCACATACCAGACACAGCGCCGCTCGATTCTTCACCTTGCGTACACCAGAACATTGGCAGAACATCTTATTCCATTCGGCCCCAGTGTCAACATGTTGACAGTTGACGGTAACCCCACACACTATGTACATGTTCACCCCCGTCTCCAATTTTGACCCTCCTATCCATCCATCTCCATTGCCTAACAACCATTCAAATGCTCCCATGACTTTGACTTGATACTCCTACGCCCTCTCCAAGCTCTCCTGCTCTTCTGCTCTCCGCCGCAAGATAAAAAAATCTTGCCTTCGCCATGATCCATGTACGATGCTAAAACAACACGATTAAAGAAGTGCGCCGGTTTGAACCAGCCACAAACCCAGAGTCTCCCGTCTATATCAGAGCCTGTAAAACTAGCTCCGCTAAACGCCGTATGTTGTCTGACTCGCGCATGATGACTCTGAAAACAAAAACAAAACGACTAAAAGTGAGGGTACCGAGAGAGGAATTAGTGAAGAAAAACTCAAGTAAAAAGCACAAACAACAAATTCGCCAGCAGATGTAGTTCTTCCCCCGACCCCTTCACCGTAAAGGGGTGTTCTTCGCCACCCGTATGTGAGAGAACCCGAGTTCCGCCTCGCCCAGCGGTGGAAAGGTTGAAGGCCCCAAAAAAAAACTCCGATTCGTGCCATGGACTGATGAGCCAAGCCCCCCACTCTTGATAACTTCGAGTCTGCATGCAGATGAAAATCACTTTCGGTTCGATCGGCTTTGACTGCGCTCGACCATCCGGCCGGGAGTCGGGTTCGGCCCAATGGTATCGAAGTCGTAGTTCTTCAGGGTCTGCTCGTACTTGGGGCTGCGAAGGAACTTGGGCACCGAGTCCTGTAAACAGTTAGCATTGTAGCCGGCAACCGTTCAACGAACGGCAAAAACTTACGCTAGCCATCAGCTTGAACACGGCGTTCTGAGCATCCTCAAAGAGCGCTGTCACCTCGTGCAAAGTGTCAATCATGGCCACATCCTGCCCGACAGCCTTGGTCATGCGGGTCGCCAGGTTGTTGCGCAGCTGGTGGTCGATGTTGAGCTCGCACGGTGAGCCGGGAGCCAGAAAGGCATTGTAGATGCCGTATGCCTGAGCCATGATCTCCTTGATCCCGTCCATCGAAGCCGCGTTGGCGGGGTTCTTCTGAGCCGCTCGGGTCGCCTGTCTGCACTGGCGCACAAACTCGTCCACATCGAGATAGAACGACAGGTTCTCTTCGCAATGCGTCTCTCGCAGGTTCTCCCTGAAGAGCAACCGAAGGGCAGGATCGTTCAGAATCTTGTCGAGACGCTGGGTGTTGGAATCCCGAGCAATACCTGTCGAGCGCGACGTCGGGATACGACCCTCACTCTCCGACGGCCGGCCCCGGGGGATGGCTCCATTCATGAGGTCCCTCCCTTTGGCGGTAATCTGATAGATGGCGTGTTTGGTCGGCTGGAACAAGTTGTGGCTCGGGATCTGGATCATGTGCGATCTGTCTTGTTGAACGGGTTCCATCAAGTCGTACTCGACGAACAGCGAAGCAATCTCAATCGTCTCTCTCCGGTCCACCGTGGTCGAACAGTCCATCAGCCAATCAGTCGCAGCCTTGCCGGTAAATGTGTCTTTGTAGAGCTTGCCACCAATCTTGCGCTCTGCTGCCATCTTGACGCCTGTCATGCCATCCCGGTAGTCGTTCAGGGAATCCGAGTCCGCGGAACTAACGCTGGGCTTCACATTCAGACCGTTGGCACCAATGAATCTCCGAAAAATAACCTCGATGGTACCACGGTCGGTCAGAAGCTTATCGCTTTGCCCGTCACGCTCCAAGCTGACCAGCTGAGGGAGTGAGTTGCCAATCAACTCGGCAACTTGTTTTTGCTGAATACCGTTTCTCGAGCAGAACCTGTCAAGGATTGAAATGCCCTTTGGAGTCAGTTGCCAGACCGAACCCTTCATCGTATAAGTCTGCTGATATCTCCCGTCCGCAGACTCGATGAACCGCGCCTCGAGGAATCTCTGACATATTGATCGTGCCATGTCCTTTGCCATGGAAAAGGTGGTAGTCGTGGTTGTGGTCACAATTCGGGAGGGGTCCTTGGGGTCGGGCATGCGGTTGGACTGCGAAAACTTGAGGGAGCCAAGATTGTTGATGGCATCCTCCGAGAGGAAGGTGTGCTCAACTTTGGTCAAGCGGACACGATGGGCGGACAGCGGGAGCAAGCTCACGATCAAGGTGGCGAACAAGTCCTTGAAGTCCTGGCCAGAAAGTCAGACACTAGTCTATGACGAAGCAGCAGCCGCATTGAGGGTGACAGCGCTCCGGGCAGAATTACGGAAGGGGCAGGCACTCACCTTTGTGAACGGACGGTCATCGTCCGTCATGCGGAGTAGTCTCGACGATGTTTGATGCATCTTGTTGTCGAGTCTGGAGAGACGGGTTGGGAGAGGGTAGTTTGGATTGGTCTCGGAATATGGCTTCGACGGGGGATCGTCGCGCGGGGACAAGTTTTGCGGCCTGTCGCCTGGTAGCGTGGACGCAGGCCGGACGCGGAAGGGCTTCTCCGGGCTCAACTGCTGTCCAGCCGAGAGGAGGAAGTCAGGCCCCGCCGAGAGACGACTCAGAGACTGTCTGGGCCGGATCCTTGGCTCAGCGATGTTGGAGAGTGTTTTGTCAAGGGCAGCTGCAGCAAGCGCAAGGAAGCCACCCGATCGCTGCGAACTGGTGGAAGGACTGCTTTGGTGGTGCTGGTGACGGTGAGGGGTGGTGGTACTGATCGCAGCAGTGGTCGTCGTCGCAGATGCGGATGCGGACTGCTGCTGCGGATTTTCGTCGAGGGAAGACAGCGAGGTGCTATGATGGGGCTGGTTTCGTGGGGCAGGTTGAGACGGCGACGGCAGCGGCGGCGGCGATGATGTTGTGGATGTGGGTGTCGACTGAGAGACCGCGGCCATCTAACAGCGGATCAGGTCAGAATGCAATCCGGTGGAGCAGTGGAAGGGTGTGTGCGTGCGGCGCCGGGGATGGGCAACCGTCGGTTCAAATAAAAGAGGGAAGGTGTGTGTGAGTGACGGGACGGTGGACGGCCAGTGGAGCGCTGGGAGTGGGAGTGTGGGACAGTGAACGGCGGACAGTGTGCACTTTGAGTGGAGCCGGGAGGGATGAGCGACATGAGCGACATTGCCAGGGGACCCAGGGGAGGGCGTGGGAAAAATGTGGGTGCAGGGAACCTGGCACACGCTGGGAAAGCGGGAACCAGAAGTACTGGTACAGCGCCCCTCCAGCGCCTGCT